CGCCAGCAGGTGGGGCCAGTATGAGCAGGTGAGCCTATGGTGTCACACAATGGCCTCATACATTCCTCCCTGCTTTCCACCACTACAAGGAAGAAACACATCACCCTTCTCACAATTCATTCCTCGCCGGCGCATTCCAAACACACACAGTGTATCAAAGAGCAAAATATTCAATCAGCACAACAATTACAATCTGCACATTAAAAAATTTATATCCTTACCAGTCCCCGATAATTAAAATGAATCACTTCCCTATCAATGAATCTGATGATTGATCGCATATGGTTACTGGCTAACGTTTGCGTAATCTGTAAATCTACAAGCAGATACATTGTATATGATTGTATGTCAGGCCTGGAGCCCCCATGCACACTTGAGGGCTTGTTCACACCAGATCTGCAGACCAGATCTGCATAAGTCTCTGCACATGCAATGCAGTGTGTTATACCACGGTTTTGATGCGTTCCGGGCCGTTTTTGGTAAAAGTGCGTTCCAGGGCGTTTTCATGCGTTTCAGATGAGTTTGCATGCTTTCCAGAGTGTTCCAGAGCAGGTATAATAGGGCTTGCTGCAGTTTTTTTTTACATGCTCTGGAACTGAACGCTGTGGTGTGAACTAGAGCCCAAAATACCATTGTAATACATTGGACGCAGTTTTGATCCGGTCTGTAACTGCTCTGTCCTGGGTGTCGTGTGGTCCTGCACAATGCAGGCAGCGGTTGCTGCGCGGCCCCATTGATTTAAATGTGGTGACATACGTCCGGCAATCGCAGAAAAAAGGTACAAGTACCTTCTTTTTGCGATACACGACACGCGGCTGTTTTCGTGTTTGGAAGCACAAGCGGAATCGGGGAGGCGAAACCGCCCGGTGTGACTGGGGTGCCATTAGGAAATAATGGGACCCATAGCGCGATATGTCCACACTTTGGCAAGTCCTGACTGTGCTGCAATCCACGTGGAATCGTGCACGATTGCCACGCGCTGAGGTGTCGCCTAGGTGCGAACCTAGCCTCAGATGTGAACAGGCACCATTGAAAATACTGTGATTTCTCATGTTAAGCTTGGTCGTGCTTTGGGAAACGCACGACAGAACGCTCAGGTGGAGCTTTGCCATTTCAGTAAGGCTGCATTCACACAGGGCTTGTTTGTTCATTCTGGGATTCCTGGTGCAAAAGCTTATGGATTCTTGCAGCAAGAATCCCAGGTGTCGCTGTACTCATTCAAGTTAATAACAGGGTGACAGTGGTTTGGGATAGATGATTGCCCCTGGATGCATGATAGATGCGTCCAGGGACAATCATCTATCCCAAACCACAAGTAATCATACCATGTACAATTACATGTGGATGCGTCCGCTGTCACCCGATCATTAACTTGAATGGGTACAGCGGCCACATCTGAACGGGCACATCTGGGGTTCTTGCTGCAGGAATCCCAGGACGCAGATACAATCCCTGAGTGAATGCAGCTTAAGGGCACACTGCACATCACAGCACAGTACAGCTACTGCGCAGAAACTTGATGGGAGTGTACACTTTGTACACTCCAAATAAACGTACAAAAAAGGAAACAATGTGATGTGTTGAGACAGCGCATCACACCGCCCCCTCTCCCCCACCAGACTGAGCACAACGCACATGCTACAACACCCTGCTTTGTGAATATTCTGTTTCATTTTCAATTAACATGTGCAATGGCATGTCTTGCAGTGCGTGTTCAAAAAGTATTACGGCCCATTCACACATAAGTGTTCCTTTGCAGTGCTTTAATGAACGTGTTAATGTACACTATGGCTTGTGTAATATGTGTTGTGTTATGGCAGGCCCTTCATTTTGGGCCGCCAACGCACCACAATGGATGAAAAATACACATGACTCTTTTATCCTAAACGTGGTATATTAATCGTGGTGCGAAGCTGTGTTTTGTGTTCTACTGTACAATGCATCAGAGTGCCATTTACAATGAATGGCACTGGAACGCACCACCCAAAGAGCCAGGAGCATTGTGGCTAAACAAGTTAGCATGCATGCTTCAACAATGCACAATACCATGCACAAGAACCATCAATCCAAGCACCATCAGTCCAATAACCACCAGTCCAAGAACCACCAATCCAAGATAAATAAAAAGGAATCTTACAGCCAAACTTCAGCAATTATTGGAGTAACCATCAGTCCATCAACCACCAATCCAAAAACCACCAATGCAAGGACCACCAATGCAAGGACCACCAATGCAAGGACCACCAATCCAAGAACCACACGTCCAAGAACCACCAATCCAAGAACCACCAGTCCAAGAACCACTAATCCAAAAACCATCAATCCAAGAAACACCAGTCCAAGAACCATCAATCCAAGAACCACCAATCCAAGAACCACCAGTCCAAGAACCACTAATCCAAAAACCATCAATCCAAGAAACACCAGTCCAAGAACCATCAATCCAAGAACCACCAATCCAAGAACCACCAGTCCAAGATAAATAAAAAGGAATCTTACAGCCAAACTTCAGCAATTATTGGAGTAACCATCAGTCCATCAACCACCAATCCAAAAACCACCAATGCAAGGACCACCAATCCAAGAACCACCAATCCAAGAACCACCAGTCCAAGAACCACTAATCCAAAAACCATCAATCCAAGAAACACCAGTCCAAGAACCATCAATCCAAGAACCACCAATCCAAGAACCACCAGTCCAAGAACTATCAATCCAAGAACCACCAATCCAAGAACTATCAATCCAAGGAACACCAATCCAACATAAATAAAAATTAATCTTAGCAATGATTGGTCCATATATCCATATTTCCTCCCTGGCTCTGTGAAGTTTGGATCCTCTCCTGAACCTGTAAAGACCTGTACAATGATGGCTAGTAGGAGAGGCTTCCTCTTACATTGGTTGTCAGTGGGAAAGGTGCCCTCTTACATTGGTGGTCAGTGGGAATAATACCTTATTATTTTAGGGGTCCGTGTAGTGCCCCTTACAGTGATGGTCAGTGGGTTGAATGCACTATATTCTTGGGCGTCAGTGTGGTGCCCCATTACAAGAATGCCCCGGTACTTAAGAGGCCAGTGTGGTGCCCCCATTGCGTTAATGGTCAGTGGGAAAAATGCCCTGTTATCTAGAGGGTCAGTATGGTGCCCCAATACATTGGGGGACAGTGGGGTGAATGCCACCATTTCAGATAGCTAAAATGATCATTGCTGTTGATGGTTACTTACTTCAGAGTCAAGAGGATAGGCTCCACTGGTTACACAGCATTGGCTCTGATGTGTGACGTTGGCTACAAAACTATGCAGGTACCATCAGATGGGAGATTAATCTTGTACTCCAAACTGCTCATGGAACCCCCATTGACCTCTAAATGAGCCCTAATTGGGGCAGAACCATTACTTAAAATGGCTACTCAAGACTGACCTGCTATTAGCAAAGTTTTTTTTAATCAAAGATAGTGAAGGATTGATTCCAATTTTTACTGCAGATCAATGTTGCTGCTACCGAATATGTGACCTGGCACTGCCAATGCCAAGCTCAACACTGTATACTATCTTAACCCAATACATTATTCCTAGCAAAAATAAATTCTTGCAAGCCATTCAGTAAAATGTAATACCCGTAGACAAGCAAATCAATAACAATGACAAGCACTGAGCGATAACTGCAACAGCTGTAAACTGTCAGCATTATTTTCAGATATTTCCCAGTCCCCAGTATTTCAATCTCTTGAATTATACACTCCAATGTCACAACAAGCTCCGACACTGCACAATGAGCTGTGATGACAGCTAGTTGTATATAAAATACATCGATTATGTACAGTTTAGATTTATAGCAGATCATGCGCTCAGTAATCACCATAACATTTTACAGCCAGAACATTCATTGATTTATGAGCCCTGAGTGACTCAATGGATCAAAACATGGGAGGTTCTCCAATTAAACATGTCTAAAGTCTGATATATCTGTCATTTTCTTTTTGAAGGTACCGAATAAGCATGAGCATACATTGGCCATAACAGGAACTGTAGTCTAGTTAAAATGAAGACAGACCTGGAGAAATAAACAGAGGGGGATACAGGACCTTGGGGAGGAAGAGTCCCTGGGAAAGAGCAAAGGATTAAGAAAGGTAGCAGGCCTTAACTGATTGGAAGTCATTAGATTGGAAGGTGGTAGGGAGATGCCGCAGGGGTAGGCTCTGCGGAGGCTGCTGGGAGTTCTTTCTAGACAGTTGACAAGGTAAGAAGTTGGTCCCGCCTGCCTTCCCTGGTTCACTGCTTTTGACGGCTTGAGATCTATGTGTGTTTGTCATGGCAGCTTGGCATGGTAAGGGGTCTTTGGTGGGGAGCCATTTGGATGTATGGTGCCCCCCTCCCTTGGTGTCAGTTGTTGACAGGGCTTAGTCCCTTGGGAAGTCGCGAATAGTCCATTTTGGAGCTGTCCTCGAGCAAGTGGGGAAAGGGAGGTAGGTGGTAGGGAGGTGCTGCAGGGGTAGTTTTTAGTAAAGAAAACTACCCCTGCGGCACCTCCCTACCACCTAGTGGGCGGGAACATGAGTGGTTTTTAGTAAAGCCTTCTTTTAGCTAATAGACACCAGAAACCCCTTTTGTCAACCATCAGTCTTTAGGTTATTTTTTCGAAATGTTGTATTATGGTTATTCTGCATGATAACCGTTATTTTATATATGGTTAAATACAGGACTGTGTGTGATGTCACGCAGTCCATGTGTTTATGGGGGGAGGGGTTTGACTAAGAGGACAAAATTGACAAGTCCATCAGTCATGTTGATTTTAAAATGTAAAACTGGTGAAATTGCTAATATAATTGTAATACACAATTATAAATTAACATATTTTACTTCTATGCTTATTGATGTTATTACATCATTACATAACTGTGCTGTACATACGCTGAGCAGAGCTGTGGGAAGGGCCAAAACTAGGTGTCCCAC